AAATTGATTAAAAACAAACGAGGTACTATTTTTGTCTCATTGACATTTTACAACTTCTTTTTCGGTGATATCTATTTTATAGTATATGACATAGCTGAATTTATTTTTAGTTTATATGTAATTATATTGAATAGTTTTATAAGATAAAAAAATTTTAATTATGGTTTTTATAAGTTATTTTAAAACAAATAAAAAGGAATAAAATGTTAAAATTAATATAAAAAATTTAAATATTCTAAATAAATTATTATATAAAAATTTTATTGATAATATTTAAATAATTTCTTAAATAATTTTAATATTTAAGACGTGATGGCTTTTCACTTAAACTTTTATTATTATCTAAAATTAAATATATTTTTTTAAAAGTGGGATAATTTATGATATACGCGAGTAATAATTTGTTTTTTGAGTAAAAGCATCATTTTCGTGCCGCGTACTCTTAAGACCATCCTATCATCTTCATGATGATGATGGAAACGAAATCCGCCGAACCCGCCGAAGGGTGTGACCTTTGTTTCTCGCGTGGGGACCGCTGCCTCCGCCCTCTTCGTCTCTCCGCCACCGCACTTCCTAACGCTTACCAAGAAACTGTTTTTCAAATTAATTTATTAATTTAATAACATCTGGACGGTGAACGTACACGTGCCGACCACCTTATTCACGACATGCACCCCGTCAACACGGAATTCTCCGTACGGGCCCACCTTCAATCCTGTAATGTTACATTTGCCGTCGGTGATCTGCTCAATTTATGATAATATCCTTAATTATTTCACTTACCTAGTTTCGGGGCTATTGTAATCAATTTTAAAATTACAAATGGAAAACAATAAAGGCAATTCAGTCTCGGAAAATCCATTAAAATTTCATTTTTTTACCCCTTTTTTATTTTTAAACACAAAAAAAGTTTGAATGGATTTTCTATAAAACTATCCGCGTAACTTTCGAGAGTTTTTTTTTTTTTTACATAAAAATTAATTGCTTTAGTATTATAAAAGTTAACATTTTTTATTTTGATGTTGTATTAGTGCTTTTAGATTAAGGGTGTTAATTTGAACAAACTTTTATTAGTGTATAACTTTTAAGAATTAGATTATTTAATAATGAACTACTATTATTTTATAAATCAAATTTAAACTTAATTTCACAATACTAACATGTAATTTTTAAAAATTAAATCTTTTAATAATAAATAAATATTATCTTATAAATCAAATTTAAGTTTAATTTAATGATATTGCATGATATTAGTAAATTTTTTTTGCTTTTTATTATTTAAAAATATATAAAGAATTAATTAAAATTAATAAAAATATATTAAAAAATTAAAAAATTATATTTTTAGGTATGGTGTTATGTAATAAAAATTTGTCAAAAACTCTAATAAATAAAGACTTAGGGTTCGAGATTGGGTTAATATAAAACAATGCTTGGGAGTCATTAGTCTTTTTTTTTTTTTTGTTTTCAATTGACAAGGAATTAATTTTCAAATGTACAGAAATTGGTAAAAAAATTCTCTAATCATCCGGTAAACAATATAAAAAAATATTATCCGTGTACTCTTATATTTTCAATCACCAGTTTTAAGATTAGATCGCCAACCTTTAGATCAAATAAATATGTACGAAAAAAAATAAAAATAATATGAGAAATTTATATTTGTTCCTCTTAGTTAAGAAAGAAATAACAGTAGTACAAGGCAAGGCATTACTGATTTACGTTCCTAAACTACTTCTGTACATCCGAGGATAAACCAAATGTAAAACAGTTTTTCCCTCATTCATTTTTTTCTTTTCTCCAGTTTTTTCCTTCTACTCTCGGTATGAAAATTAACATTAAATTTCACCGTAAATGCTAAGAAAATTAGGAATTATACTATTAAGTATCCACTGGAGCAGGGAGATTGAGGTCAAAATCGTGGCCTCTGATCGGCTTGCAATCGACGATGGAAGAGGAATCCGATTCACTCTGAACTCCTCCAAAACCCATTCTCAACTCAACTCCGACCGGGCCAAACCCCACGGGGTACACCTGGCCCACGACCTCCGCCCTCCCAAACGCATCAAAAAATAAAACCGGCCGCGCGTGAGTAACACCGTCCAGCGGACCACTCCCGAAACCCACCATATGCTGCTGCTGCTGGTGGTGGTGGTGGTGGAACGAGAAGGGGAATCTCCCCACTATCCCACCACCGCGGATCACCTCACGCTCCGCCGGTGGGCTGGAGGACTCCTCCACGGTGCTGCTCTGGCTAGGACTCTGTTTCGCCTCCTCCTGGGTTGGAAAATTAGTCTTCGCCTTGGATCCACGGAACTCACGCGCCGCCTTGTCGTACGCTCTTGCAGCTTCCTCGGCGGTATCGAACGTGCCTAGCCAAACCCGGGTTTTCTTGCCTGGATCTCGGATTTCCGCCGCGTACCGACCCCACGGCCTCTTCCTTACGCCTCTGTAGTGCACCTCCTTCATCCTACCGTCCATGCTACTTTTCTTGGAGATTTGCGTTGCGCCCTTCTCTTTGTGAGCCATTATTTTTGACATTTGATTCAGTGTGCGAGGTTTGAGGGGAGAAGGGAGGGAGACGGGACTTTTAAATAGGGTGGGATATCCAGTCAACACAGGATTTGACTGAGGCGCCGCCCAAGCGGAGACAAGATTATAATGTTGTCCAGAATACGTGTCATTACGGAAAATATAGACAAGATGCAAGGTTGTGTTTCCTGTGCCGGCTTTTGCCTTGACCTTCTTGAATTCCTCTTAACGCGCTGTAGGAAGTGCGTGTAGTTAGATTAATTTGAATCCAATTTCACATAAATATATTTTTTTAATGAAAATCCACATGGATATTTTTTATTGGGAATTTTTTTATCTTGAATAAAATAATAAGAGGTGATTTTTTTAATAACTCTTTTTATTAATATATTATATAATTTAAATTCATAATTTTTTATTTTTATTAAAAAATTATTATTAAATTATTTAAATTATTTGTGAAATTAAAAATAAATATTACTAAATTATTTAAATTGTGTGTAAAATAAAAAATGAGTTTAAGCTAAGAATCTCTTTAAATTAAAAAAATGTTCTTTTTAATTAATTTTTATCATAATTTTAAAATATTTTGTCTTTAATAAATTTAAATGAACTTTTTTGTTCGAGGGTATATATTATCGTCTTTGTTTTCCTTTATAATGTTCTTTGCTGTCTCATTTACCTTACATTCATCACTACATGTCGATATCAATTTACTTACTTCATAATTTTCTGTACTACTTTAACATTAAGGTATGTTTGAATCAAAAGAAATAGAAGGGAGGAAAGTGGGGATTAATAGTTTATCTAATTAAATTTAGTTTGGTAAGTTATTTTTAAATAATACGTAATTATTATTTTAAGAAGTTAGTGTTTATGAACCATATTTCAAAATAATTAAAATAATAAATACTTTAAAATTACATGATTTTAATAAAATGTTGAGAGAATATACTAAAAAAATCTAATCATTCTTTTAAAAAAAGGTTATTTTATTTTTTAATAAGAGTTTATTAAAACAATATAATTTTAAGATAATTTTTTTTAATTTTTTAAAAATAAGGTTGATAAATACTTATCTCTTATTTTAATGTATGAATTTTTTTAAAAAAATTTTAAGTTATACAATAAGAAATAACCTTTTTCAATTTCTACTATTTTTTTTTCAAATTCCATCATAAAGTAGAATTTAAATTAACCTTAACCAGTTCAATGATTTAATGTAGAATTACAAATGAATTTCATAAATTTTATAATAAAACTAAGCAGAAAGATATCTTTTTACCTGAAAAGAAATATAAAATTCAAATTATGAAATAAAAATATCTTTTAACTATATAAAATACATAACTATTGAATTACAAAATGATTTTTATACCCTTTTTTTTTATGTAAAAGTTATTTAAACTAAACCCAATGTAATAGTAATACAAAAATAAGCCTTTAAAAGATATCTCAACTCATAAAAATTTAAAACTTAAAATTAAGGCTTTTATGTTTGAACCTTCACAAAATTAGAATGATTCATTACCGATTACTGTACATTACATCAACAAAGCATATGACTGAGGTTTTCACTACTAATAATTTTTTTAATCTCACAAATTTTAATTGTAATTTTATTGAATTATAGTTTTTAAAAATAATTAATTAGTATGATATTTAAAAATATATATTTAAAAATTAATTTTAATTTATTGAATAATAAATTAGGTTAAGTGGCAACAAGTTTGTAGAAATAAAGATGAGGGGGGGGGGGTTGGATGTAAAAGATCTTAAATTATTTAACTTATCTCTATTGGGGAAATGGTGGGGTAGGCTAGCAGAAGGAAAAGAGAGTCTATGGTACAAAATGATAAAAGCAAATTATGGAGGAGGAAATGATAATTGGATGAACTAAGTTAGGGAAGGAAACTCATGAGCGAGTGGATGAGTTGACAGGAAACTCTTTCAGCTTAACCAGAGATCTTAGTTTCAAGTTTTAGGAATGCAGCTTCGTTAAAACTCGTGAGGGAGAGTTTTGTCGCTCGTTGGGTCTTACCTGACTCGAATTTGGATTAGTCGGTGGCCTAGTGGGCTTCTGAATACCGAGTGATCCATACCCAAAAAAAAAAAAAAAAAAAACTAAGTTAGGGAAGGAAGAGGAGCATGGTCAAATTGGTGGAAGGATATATGCAAGTTAGATGTATTAGAGGAAGGAAAAAGTGGATGACTATCAGAAGGTTTTGAATTTGTAGTTGGGGAAGGGAAATGTGAGTTTCTGGAGGAATAGATGGTTAGATGTAAGTGAGCTTGCTAATGTTTTTCCTAGATTGTTTTTAATCTCAACAAAGAAGGACAAATCCATCCACCAAATGGGATTGTGCGAACAAGGCAAATGGAATTGGCACTTCAATTGAAGGCATTAGCTTTATCCTTGGGAAACGAAAGATGTGCAAAAACTTGTAAGCTTACTACAAAATATACAAGTCCAACTCGGAGTTGAAGACTCTTGGATATGGAAGCACTATTCAAGTGGGGTTTACTCCTCCAAGTTGGGCTAGCTTTTACTTGAAGACAATTAGCTTGCACCTAATAGAAGGACATTCAAGAGGGTATGGAACACTTAAATCCCTCCTAAAGTATGTGGGTTTGTATGGCAAGCAATATTGGATAGAATCCCAACCAGAGTAAACCTTTTGAAACAAGGAGTTCTCAAAGATGTTAATGAAACTCTATGTAGCCTCTGCAATGAGCACAAGGAGGATGGAGACCACCTCTTTTTACACTGTAAAGTTGCCTTGGAAATATGGCATAAATGCTTCATTTGGTGGGATTTACTTTTAGTGGGATTATCAACTAGTTAGGGGGGTTTTGTTCAACATGAAAGGCTTATTTAATCCAAAAGATTAAAGCATGGTTAGGAGGTCATTTGGCTTGCAATATTGTGAACACTCTGGGGTGTTCAAAATGAAAGGATATTCAAGGATAGACCAATTGACATCAACAAAATATTCGACTTAGTCTAAGTAAGGGCATTTCATTGACTAAAATATAGAGGCAAAGGTAATGATATACTTTTACAAAACTAGATTACAAATCTTGGATTGTGTCTCTAATTTTTTTGAACAAGAAAAAGGTTTATAGTAGATTGAACTATTGCCAACTTACTCAGGGGAATGCACTTAATATGTAAAAAACTCTTAATTGTATATGGGTATCCTTTGTACTCAATTTATAATAAAATTTTCTCTTCTTTTTTTTTTATAAATATTAAATAATAAATATTAACTATTTTATTAATTTTTAATTATTTTTAATAATTGAATTAATATAAGACTTTAATAGTTTTAGTGGCCCTAATAAATTTATTAATGATATTCTTATCCAATGGACCACAGCCAAAAGCATATACTACAAAATTAGAGTATAGATCAAACCATCATAAGGAATGAGCAGTGCATACACGCTCTTCTTCTGAAAGTGGGCATAACAAACTACGTAAGTGTTTTAGACCAATTCTATATCTAACAATTTTCAAAAAAAAAAAAAAAAATTATATATCTAACAACTGAGTGTTTTCCGCCGTATCTTCCCCACTACTTTCTCGGGCCCCACCGCAGCTTCCCGAATCGCTTTTTTAGACCGACCGTTAAGAGAGAGAAACTCATACCCACTGAGAAGTCGACGCATCACCATCTTTGCCCATTCGACGCGTCTCCAAACAGCAAACGGTGTCGTGGATCATCAGTGTTTGTTGCGGTGCAATTACATGGTTCCGCCTGTAGCCATTAAAAAATGGATAGATTTTGTTTTGTAGATTAAGAGATCGATTGTTTTTCTACTGTCTTTCACTAGCGCGTGGTCGTGACGAGGGATTGTGATTGGGGCTGCTAGAAATGGGGGTGTTGTTGTGCGGAAATTGATAATGTGAAGACGCAGCCAGAATTTAACTTGGATGGATTTTGCTTCCATGAGACCGAGACGTGTTCTATGATGCTTTGGCTGATTTCTTCTTGGCCCACCTTGGAATAAATGTGGGAGCGACATTTTTGGTTGTGGTTATAGCACAAGGCCATTTGTTAGGGCCACCGAATATAAGCAAGTCTACTTAGCGACTCGTAAAATTAGCTGCCCGGTACTCTCCTCTCCTCTCCTCTCCTCTCCGTTTCCATTTCCTTTTCCTTCTTCTCGCTTGACTGTCATTTTTTTTTTTGCTATCCTCTGCCTAACTGTTGCTTCCTCTACCCCTCTCGATTGTTATGAGAAATTAATATTAAGGTAAGATTGTCTTTTCAAAGGTTAATTTACTCTCCCCTATGAACCCTTTTTGAGGGTCTTTATGCTATCTCGATATTTCATCTAATTGTTTCTGATAAAAAAGAATGATATTGTGAAAGTGACAGTTGAGCTTAAATAGGTTGCAGCGCTTATCTCGTATATTGTCAATATGGTCAGAAGGTAGAATTCTTGATTAATCTTCCTACTCCAGGACACTCCCACCGGTGATCTTTCCAATCTAACTTTGTAACTGCCCCTCTGGACATATTACTTAGTGATCTCTCTAGCAAAGTACTAGTAGCGATAATTTGCCCCTCGTATTTGCCCATGTTCAAATGGGACACTTTTTTTTTTTTTATGAGTGTTGTAGGTCTGTCTTTCATTAGTGGTTGTAGTTCTGTATTTCTTCACTTATACAGTCAATGCCTATAATAGATTTGAAAATTTCGTTTATCAATAAATTTTTAATTATTTGATAAAAAAAAAAAAAACCCTAAACTTATAAAACACAAATTAACTTTAGGATGGGTGATAACATTCTTTGCTGTAGCTTTCAAGAAAAAAAAAAAACCCTTTGTTGGAGGAGCATAATATGGGAGTGTTTGGTTTAATTGTTTTGAAATAATTAATAACTAATTATTAATATTCAACCGTTAATTATTATTGTTATTTATAATTTAAAATATTTCATTTATTCTATTAGAGCCAATAATTAATAGTTGTTTTCCAAACTCTAAAACAAATACTCTA